TGAAACCACATACACAGTATTCTGGAAATGATTGAAGGCAAACGCAACACAACGAATTCTTATTTGATTTATGGCATTTCATATTTCCACAATGCATTCCATTTCTTCTTTCTATTTGTTCAATACGACATGCTTTTAAATTTAAATAAGAAAATATTGTATATTTTATGCTTTTAAAAGCAAAAATGTAAATAGTGATTGTGCAGAATGATTAAGTTCTCTGTTTTTAGTTTTTAGTAGTTGAAAATTGTTTCTCGCATGCGTCACCATTTTATGGATAACATATGTAGGAGTCACAGACTTTCCCTAAAACACTTTTGATAATGGTATGGAATGCTATTAATGCTTCCTGTATAAACAGGAAGGGTACTATTAAATCTAGACTAACCTATTCAGACTGACTATAAGAACTTCAGCCTGGGCATTCGCCACTTCAGTAGGGGAATTGCTCACATGTGTAACCAAGTGTAGACTCATTTCTCTCAGTGTGCGGCTGGAGATGATGGTCGTGGTGGACGCCTGGAGGGCGCACGCCGAGCAGAGCGGACCGAGTGCTTACATTGTGCAAACTTTCGCCTCTTGTGCAGCTGATGCCGCTGCTTTTGGTGCCCTGTTGATGTTTTTGCCACGGCTGCTGATGCTGTTGATGCTGCTGATGGGCTGGCTGGGGCATGAAATCTTATAAAACTTATTGTTCCATTTCCTTTCACTTTATGTAAATTAAACAGTGCATTATTCTTGCATACGCGGCGCGCGGGGGAAGGCCGAGTGGGGGGTGGTATCCACCATGGAGTGCGAGATACATGTGTACATGCAGATATTTGCATTTGGCACTTGGCACATGTGCCAAGTTATCTACTTTTTTATTCCTGTTGTGCCTCCCCTGTGTGTTGTTTGCTTTTCGTTAAACGATGCAAAGGGTCGGAAAAGCTGTTGCATATGCAAACCTAATGGCTCCGCGTTGATTTGATTGATTCCACGTTATCAATGCACAGGGACATTGTGTATTCACTGCGAAAAGGTCAAGGTTTGTCGGACAGGCCCCCCTCGGTTTGTACTGAAATGACCCATATTTACCAAGAAGTTATCATAGTTTTGTGGCAAATGCTGTGTGGTTGGCTTGGTTACTAGTTTAGTTGCCCACATTTTCTAGTTGATGGAACTTAGGATCAGCTTTTTCCTGTGCATTCAAGACCGCCCACAGCAACAGGCTTTCATCGATGATTACCGTTTAGAAATCAATTTCATGCTGGCAGCTTTGATGATTTCCCAACTAGGTAGACACGCAATCAAACGCAGTTTATATTTATAATTTTTCCCACTAAATTTCGATGTGCATGCCAGTAATTTGATGCATTCGCATTTTCACTGTCATGCCTTGTTGGAGAAGGAGGCGGAGGCGACTGGAGGAGAATTCTCACCGACCATGAACTCATCTCTCGTGCGTTTCACAAAAGGATTTTGCCAAGTGCCCCCCATGTGTGTACATGTGTGTGCGTGTGGTGTGTGGTGTGTCTGTGCTTTTGAAGGGGCAGCATTTACTGCGTAGTTTTTCCACAGTTTTCCCCGCTTGAAAGGCGTCTTTCTCCACCGCGACTGCAGTCCCCGTTTCCTTAGACACGTTTCAAGTACGTAGCGAAAAGCGAAAACAGTGCGCAATATTTTCACACTGGTGAGGAACGAGGGGAACAAGGTGGCGACGGGGGTGAAAGTGGTAAAGGGGGAAATTCTGCTTATCATCGTGTCACTTTGCATTACATAAAGCCGAAAAAGTGTGAGAAAGCTGTGAATTTGTGCACTAGATAAACAGCCCTGGAAAAGTCATTTGGACTGAACTAAAATCCACCTTAAATGCAAAGCAAATCGTAGCATTCCGACTAAATAATAATACCCAGTGTAAACAAACGAAAAGCAACAATAAATTCAAAGGGCCATATCAAAAATCAATACAAATATGCATTAACTATTTGCCAGCCACTTAATGCAGTGGAATGAGGAAGTACAAACAAGAAAGCTGAAAACCAAGAAGGGGTTTCCCTAAAAGGCGCACAGCAATTATTATTTATGACAAACTCAAATTACGGCTACAGTTGCTGTTGGGCCGAGGGAAATTTTTATTAAAATAACAAACTGGATTGTAAATCGTCATTCATAAATTGTTTATTATAAAAACAACTTAATCATTGATAATGAATCCGATTAGTGTGCCTTAGGTTAAGATAGTTCGACTCAGTAAACTATTGCGTGCGGAACGATTTGAAATTTGTGATTCTTAAAAGTTTATAGGAATCAAATAATATGCAAGTTACCATTAAAAGCCAATGATGAGGAATGCGGAACCGTTTGGTGAAAGTTTATTGCAAGTTTTGGTAACGTTCAAAAAGCTGTTCTCGCCATCGAGCATTTTATTTAGCTTATTGATTATGGCTGGGGAACCAATAGACATGCGTCAAATGCATACTTTTGAAGGAGGAGGCGGGATGAGCTATACTATATAGTACACGAGTGTGTGTATGTGACATTCTTGATAAGTGACAGAATGATAGATTTTATCGGCATGAGCTGCCTTCTGCATAACGTATGGATTTATTTACTGTTTGTTAACGTAAAGAAAAGTACAGTTTATCCAAAGGAATGAATTATGTTAGGTTCATCGATAAAGAAGCACCGATAAGTTCGATAGGAATATCGATTGTGCAGTCGTAGCCTTGCCACCTCCCATTGGGGAGGGTGGTTTTGGGTGGGAAATTAATTTCCCCCCAATGAGTGGGCGAAGGCTGCCTACTGGCGCTTAGTCATTAGATGACCAAACGATGACTGTATTCCAGTGGTTGGGCGGCTAAAATCTTATAAATGCCAGCAGAAAACAACGGGCAAGCAAAGCAAAGCACAGCAAAAGCAAAACAAAACAGCAGAGGAGAACCGATGTGAATAGCAGCGGACACAAAGCGAACTTGTCTCATTATTTTGTGAGCCGCCTCCCTGGCCATTTGTTATTGTTTTCCACGATGATATGCTGGGGAATTTCGCTACCACTGTCGAGTAAATAATGTCATAAGGTCACACGCACAACAGCACAAATTAAAGGGGCAACACTGTACGGTGGGCCTAATGGTCAGCCATTGTGGCTGCTTTTTTTTCGGTCATTTGTCTTGACACATTCAGCTGGGCTTTACTGTGCTGGACTGGGTTGGGCCCCGTTGATGGTTTTATATAAAATAGCATATTAAATGGCCAGCCCAGTCTTGTAGATTCGCTATCGCCACCGCCACTGCTACTGCCCATATTAAATGTCACATCGGAGCCCACATTGTTTGTTGCGAGGTCCCGGACCAAAGTGAAGGTGATTGGAACAAATTAAGGCGAAAAAACAGTGCAGAAATTCAATTATAATCAGGGCAGCGCGTTGAAAAGCGCTGACCACCGCCACTCAGCGTGGAAAATGGGTGGAAAATGAAAAAAGGGGCTGCGTTCAAGGCAGCTGGGCTAACTTTTCACTCGCACCCACTGTCTCTGTTTTACTCTCATTTTACCTTTCAGTGAGTTCCGGCTGGCCACTCACACTCAATCACACACATGCGTATTTTGGTTTGTCAGGCACTGAAAAAAAACGCGAGAAATCGGTTTAAATCGAAGTTAGTAGCTCGGTTTTGGCCTACAACTATTTCATATTTTTATAGATTGATTGCCTTGATCAGAATCATGCTAAAAGATTTGAATGTTCTAAATCTGTTAGGCAATTAAAGACCAAAAAGTTGGAGTTTTTTTCAAAGTGTAGAGACGCCCACGCGTCTCGGTTTCCATTTGCACCGGCTGGCAGGCAGGCAGGCAGCTGGCCGAAGCGAAGTTGATCGCATTTACCTGTTTGTCACTCATACGCCTTGTGGTCCCAGTCTGTTTTATTTTCTGGCACGGCTCTTTTATTTTCTGCTCTCTTGTATGTGGGTGTTCCTGGCGATGGGCGTGTGTGGCGCGGTGTGTACGTGTGGTGTGTGCGACATGTTAAACATGTTTTCGCTTGGAAATCGACGGTGGGCAGTCAGTTTGACTTGCATTTGTGCAAATTTGTGTGCTTAACTGGAAACACTGAACAAGTTCCGCAATGTCGTCCTCGAAGTGAAAACTGTGCAACACACACACACACACACATGGGCACACACATGTGGCACCACTTTCCTGTCTCAGCCAGCCATTTCCCTCAGATTGAAGTTCAACCTGGGCCAGTTGATTTCTCCCCCTCGAAACGAGCCATGCAAATGAATGAGTTTTCCCAGCTTGTGCGGCGCGTCCTTCATTTGGCTTCATTTCCGTTGAAGATGACAGCGGCATCTAGTTTCCGGTCAATGGCTTTTCCGGGCTCGTTTTGATTTAATTTACTCGCCATGCTAAATTTCATTTCATTTAACAGTCAGTTACAGCTCGCAAGCGAAGTTGGCCAAATTCTGGGCTTTGCGGTTGGTAGTGTCCAGCTGGCGAAGTCCATTTTGGCCTCTTGATTTTCGTGGTCTGCCGGAGAAAGTTCAGCTGGCGGGAACGGAATTCAGGATTCAGCGATTGCTCGCTTGCTATGTGCCAATCAATCAATGGTTAGACAGATTGCAATTGCAAATGTTGCACATGGGACGTTTCCTTAGTTGCTCATTGAATCTATTAAACCAAGCTTCCAATATAAAGGTCGTGAAACAAAAAGTTTCAGCTGTATTTCAGTGCTCTAGTGAATTTGAATGGTCAACCTGGTTTTCAGTGCTGCCACAGTCACAGTGCCTATTTCTTATCTGCTATCTGTTATCTGGTAACAAAGAAATCACTGGCAAAGCCTTTATCTCGTAGCGCACATACAAACGCACCCGCAAAGCCAACGATTAGATACACCTGAATGTCTCATTTTATCGGACCTTGCGCTTTTTCGTGCCTTTCACTGCGATGTCAATTTTTGAGTAATTTTCAGCGATAAGAAGCACCTATCTAACCAAAGCCCATACGTTTCTGTTTGATTGCAGTGCATGTGATGCCAAATATCCATAAAACGCAACAAGGAAATCAGCAAACGCGAATTACTATGTGAATGCAGCAATCGGCAATCAGCAGTTAGCCAGCAGCAGCCGCAGCTCTCCCTCAGTTAACCAAATTGATGTGCCATTCAGGAGCAGCAGCGCAGAAAGAGGATCAGATCAGATCAGATCAGGTCGGAGCAACGTAGAAGCTAAGCGAGAGTATTAACCAGAGTAAGGCGCATCGCAAATGCAACAATCCCTCCAGTAAACAATACAAAAATCAACAACACAAGAAGCAAAGTATAGCAAACAGAAGAAACAGGTTTGTAGTTGACTGATAAATGAGCGTGATGAAGTCACAGTGAGCTAATTGATTGCCCCACTTGATTCCAGTGTACATACAACTGTAACGAATTTAAACAACCAGCAAGCGGCTACAGAAGAGTATAACACATTTCACGCCCCCGAGTAACCATTTGATAAATGCCAAGATAAGTCGTTACCGCTTTAATACCGCCGTCAACATTACCCAGCAACAAAAGCTGATCCAGCAACTCCAGCAGCAGCAGCAGGCGATCGCTTTCAGGGGGAAGAAACAGAAGCAGAAATTGCAGTTGCAGCAGCCGTTGCCGTTGCAGTTGCAGATTGGTCAGGAAACGAACGGGCTTCGAGGAGGAGCAGAAGGAGAAGCAGAAGCAGAAGGAGTAGAGCTGTTGGGCTTACCCAAAGGTACCGAGAACAATTGCAAGACGCCAAACTCAACCGCAAAAGTCGCCAACATAACACATAAAATTTTCGGTTGGCTACGCAAAACACGCAACAAACGGCCAGTCGAGATCCTCAACAGCGATTTCGGCGAAGACGGCGACGAGGGCGTTGGCGAGGGCAAAGGCCAAGGCGCAGGCGAGGGAGGAGGAGCAGCTGCCAGTGCAGCTGGCGGTGCAGCCGATCAATTTTCAGTGGCAAGCGTTAAAAACAAAGCCGGCAAGCTGAATACCACACAGACAGCCACGGAGACCGCCATCGATTCAAACGAACCCAAATCTGAAAAGATGTCATCGGGCACGTTTGTGGATCGAATCGACCCGTTCGCCAAACGTTCGCTCAAGAAGAAGGGTAAAAAGAGTCAAGGTTCCTCGCGCTACAGAAATTCTCAGGATGTTGAGCTGCAGCAATTGCCGCCGCTAAAAGGTGAATATCCAGTGCACTCCATCTTTTACCAATGACCACTTTACCAATCCAAACATTATGCTCTTCCACAGCTGATTGCTCCAGCCTAGAACAGGAGGAGCTTTTCATAAGGAAGCTGCGCCAGTGTTGCGTGTCCTTTGACTTTATGGATCCCGTTACGGACTTGAAGGGCAAGGAGATCAAACGGGCCGCGCTCAATGACCTATCCACCTATATTACACATGGGCGCGGTGTGCTTACGGAACCGGTTTATCCGGAAATAATTCGTATGGTAAATATTCCGACTGCCACAATATTTTTGAACTGAACTATTTCGCGGTCAGCGAGCTTTTACACGCGGAAACTAGCTTTTAATAACTTAATAATGTTTGTTTTATTTTGACCAGATTTCTTGCAACCTATTTCGCACGTTGCCGCCCAGTGAGAATCCTGATTTTGATCCCGAGGAGGATGATCCGACACTGGAGGCGTCCTGGCCACACCTCCAGCTGGTGTACGAGGTCTTTTTGCGGTTCCTGGAGTCGCAGGATTTCCAAGCAACTATCGGCAAGCGTGTGATCGATCAAAAGTTTGTCTTGCAGGTGAGTCTAAAATGTTGCACAATGGGAGTAACAATTTAATCACATGCTTTTTGGTATAGCTCTTGGAACTTTTCGACTCGGAGGATCCCAGGGAGCGGGACTTTCTGAAGACGGTGTTGCATCGCATATACGGAAAATTTTTGGGACTGCGGGCTTTTATACGAAAACAAATTAACAACATATTCTTGCGATTCATTTACGAAACGGAGCACTTTAATGGAGTCGGTGAGCTCTTGGAGATTCTTGGCAGGTATGTTTCACACGTAAATGGTCTTTCCATTATCCAAATATTAATTAATCTCTTGTGTATGCGATCAGTATCATCAACGGATTCGCCTTGCCCCTGAAGGCCGAACACAAACAGTTTCTGGTTAAGGTCCTATTGCCACTGCACAAAGTCAAATGCCTGTCGCTCTACCACGCTCAACTGGCGTATTGCATTGTACAATTCCTAGAGAAGGATCCATTCCTTACCGAACCGGTGGTGCGCGGCCTGCTTAAGTTCTGGCCCAAGACGTGTTCCCAGAAGGAGGTCATGTTCCTGGGCGAGATTGAGGAGATCCTCGACGTGATCGATCCGCCGCAGTTTGTCAAGATTCAGGAGCCGCTGTTCCGTCAGATTGCAAAATGCGTGTCGAGTCCACATTTTCAGGTAAGTCATGTCGTGTGGCTTGGGTAAAACCTTTTATTGAAGTAGTAAATAATATAATTTTCTATATTTAGGTTGCTGAGCGAGCTCTTTATCTGTGGAACAATGAGTACGCCATGTCGCTAATCGAGGAGAACAACGCGGTCATCATGCCGATCATGTTCCCGGCCCTATACCGCATCAGCAAGGAACACTGGAATCAAACCATCGTGGCGCTCGTATACAACGTTTTGAAGACGTTCATGGAGATGAATTCGAAGCTGTTCGACGAACTCACCTCCAGTTACAAGGCGGAGCGGCAAAAGTGAGTGCGAAGCTGGAATGTTGAAGTGGCAGATGATGAGCATTTTCCTATTCTGTTTTCAGGGAAAAGAAACGTGAGCGAGACCGCGAGGAGCTGTGGAAGAAACTGCACGAACTCGAATCCAATCGTTCTAGTGGGCGCACCGCCGGCGGCAGCGCCACGACATCGAACAGCGCAGCTTCCGCGGCGTCAACGTCCCTGCAGCCACCCAGCTCCGCTGGCCTGAACTCTCATCAGCAGCAGTCGAATAGCGGCAGCAGCGGTAGCCTGTCCAGCGGCGGTGCCGGCGGCGACAATAATCCTGCGACCACAAATGCGAAAATCAAACAGGATAAGGCGGACAATTAAGCAACGCGAGGCGCGCCGGAAACTAACAATAAAACCAACATCAGTAAAAGCGTAAGCGTAACGCGTTATCCGATATCCGTAAACGGCAGAGAGACAGCAAGCAACCACATCTAAAGGAGAAATAAATAGTTATACTAAACCACACATATGCTAAACCTTAAAACCAGAAAATATAAAACTAAAACGTATACTCGATTGACAAGACACCAACCAAGCTGACCGCCGGCTCGCTTGGGCGGCTGTTGAAGGAGGTAGAACCGAAATCTGGATCGGGAGCTGAATCAGATCCCAGGGCGTGTGTGTGTGCGCGGCAATTAAGAAGCTTGAGTGCGGCATTAAAGAAATCTTTATAAATAATGTATCTTACACCTACAGCAACTCACAACAAACAAACACACACACACCACACACACACGTGCGCGACACGTATAAATATATATTACAAAAGAAGAACATAATTATTAATTACGTTTAAGCGAAAACAAGTTGAATAAAGAGAAATCATGTTAGTAAGTGAAAAGCAGCAGAGCGATAACTATAACGGATTGACGATTGTTGAAGCGCATTGAATATTATTAACTAAACATATTGCTAACTAGATCCTAGCATAGATCTGCCATCCTATCCCCACCCACGAACACCACAACACCCTAATCACCGAAATGTTTACATGCTAAGTAATTGCGTTCATTTGAATTGATTGTAAAATAGTTGAAACTGCGCTGTATCCTCAGACTTTAATTATATATATTTTTTTTTAAATTAACAAATTGCTCCATAGAACGGCGTGTCTTAGTGCAGACTTCCCACTGAATTGTATATAAATTATTCGAGAACTGTGCTCCCCTTCACCCAGAATGAAACTTTGTTACTTAGCTTTAAGTGTTGCACACTCCGTCAAGACTTCTCGAAAACAGAAATTCCAACAATACCCGCTAAATGCCTGCGCAGTTACGAAGCCGAATCTGTATTCGAATGTAGACATGAAAGAAAAAACAAAAGCAAAAGCAAAGCCAAGTGTTAGTACATTGTTGAAGTTGCTGCTAAACGGGCCAAGATAGACAGGGAGCAGGCAAATCTATACATAATTAAGAACACAATTGAATACCATACTATACGATAACGTACGATAAACGCTGATCTATATAAATGTATGTAAAGTGTGCGGAAGATACACAAAACTATATCTCCCAGCTGAGGAATAGGCGCATGCGCGGAAATCGCGATGTACTCGGCAGAAAATGAATACAAATATTGAGCATTGTAAAAAGGTTAAGCTAGAGATACCAATAACCAAGCGAAACGATAGTTTATAGAACAAGGTTATGGCAAATTCAGCTTGGCATAGTCTGTCCCGCCCCATACGATAATTGGCATCTTGCGATACATTTCCACAGTCCACTCCAGGCTCGATGCAACCACACAAACTAGAAATTCGTTTCCATAAATGTATATCTCTGCGGAAAGCGGTCCAGTGTCGAGTACCAAATAGTTTGCAAATGCCTTTCAGACTCTTCTCAATTGAATACTAATTTTCACTCCTCACGGAAATGCGCACAATTGTCATTCGATTTGCTAAACAATAACTTCAATTGTAAATAATGTAGCTAAGTTAAAACGGGCAATACTTTGGGCCGCTTTCCCAGCATCTCACTCACTCACACTTAGCCGCACTCATGTAAGGAAATATATAAAATTTATATATGATGCTATAATATGCTATTCATATGTATGTTTGTTCATTCAACTCTCACGCCCATTACAAAGTATAGAAGCATGCATTATAGGAGCAAAACTATAGGGAAGCAAATAGGACGAGATGAAAGTATCCACTAATGAATGTCACTCATTAGGCGAAACCGCGAAAGTTCATATAATATTAATGATAATTGTGTCTGTGAATCGTGAGTTATTATACACATATATGTATACATATATTGCAAACAAAACTGAAAAATGCGAAAAAAAACTAAAAAAACAAAAAAAATCTAAAGGAAACGTAAAAGTTAGCGTTATTATTAAATATGTTTGTAAAACGTCAACAATATGCAAGAAAGATACAAGAAATAAAGCGATCGAAAGGCGCATGGAGGAGGGCATCAACTAAAGATTGGTCGGCTAGAGCAGAGAGTATATTTCGAAAACACAAATTGAACCTATGGCCTAAATACTAAGCAACGTGTGTAAGAAAGTTTTGCATCTTTATATTAGCGTGTAATTAAACAAACAAATAGCTAAACGAAGCCCCAGCCTAAACAGCAACTACGACTAGAGCTACTACAAACTACCCACGAGTATCATCCACCCCCTTCCCATTTAAAACACAATATCGATCAGATCGTTGCGTCTTACTGCCTTTCAAGATCCCAAGAAGAACACCAAAAATAATGAAAAACAGGACTGTAGAATGTTAAAACGCGAAGGCAGCACTTCCTGACCTGTTTGTTATGCCAATCCAGTAACACCAAACTCTGATCCTAACTAGCAGATCCGAAGCAAAAAACACTAGACACACGAATAGGACCCATCTCTAGTTAAAGTTGATGTTTGCCTAGGATGCCAATCAGCAAAACAAAAGAACATATTCAAATAACGCAAGTGTAAAAACGAAACCAGAAATCACGTAAGCAACAAGAATAAGATTAATAAAAACATGTTGAAAAGGAATGCCTAATAAACGATAAAAACATATTGTATAAGTCAAGTGGTTCAATGATTATTGCCTCTTCATCATTTTGTTTGTTTTGTGATCAACACTTCTGTTGCACTCTGAGTTGAACTGTTTAGTCCGCATTCAAATTAAATGGTAACTTTAACTATAGTTTCTATTATTGTATTTATATGTATAAACAAATGGAGCATGTTAATTCGTAACTGCAGAAGCTGCTTAGAGCCAGCTGAGCAAAGAGGTATAAGCAAAAGCAAAAGCAAAACTCGTTAAGTACTTTTAGAGAGAAAACCCTGTACTACAAAGTGTACTACAACAAATAAAGTCGCATTAACAACGTTGCATCAGATCGATCAGAAAACATAAAAAGATTTAACAAATGAAAATGCCGAAAAACGGAAAAGCTAGCGAAAGCAGCAACAATAAGAGCAAAATAGTTAAAGCGCTTAAACAATATAAACACTATGGATACTAACAATGAAATGAGAATGGAGCCGATGAATACGGTTAAATATATATGTGAATCATGTATTTTCTTATGTTCTAGACTTGTAAAAAAACCTATCGTATATGACACACATGCTATTATTACGTTTAACTTTGAGTTCTTGTTCTGTAGGACGGTGTGCGAGGATTTCGATTCTTTTCCTTGGGTTTAAGGCACACTGCACCACACCACCCACTCACCCACACTCACCCATACACACACCACACACACACACACACACACGACTAAACAAAATCTTATGCTGAGAGTAAATATAAAGAAAGTAAATTATAATTACACAAACATAAATGGGAATAAATATATATAGGTATATATAAACATGCATATATATGAAAGGAAAATGATATATGGAAGAGCATCGGAAAACAAAGGTTTAGTTGATTGCTTTCGAATCCAGGCAGAAAGTATGCGAAAAATAAAGTAAATTAACTAACTAATGGCGAGTGGCAGCAGAAAACAAATAAAAATTGCATGGCGCAGGCAAAAACAAATATATAGCTGCAAGCAGAATTAACCAAAAATGATTAAAAACCAAGTAAAACATGAAAAAACACACAAAAACTGAATGAATGAGTATGAGCAAACGGAGAGAAAAGAAGCAAAGAGATCAATCAACAATAAAAAATTAATAAATACAAAATAATTAACACAACGTGTTTGATTTTGAAATGAAAAGGGTAGAATGACTCAAAATAGTGTTCGCTAAATTTCGGGAGCTGTAAACCTTATAAATTCAAGTGGAAAATCATGAATAGATCTTGTTGAGAACTTCGTTTGCTGGCAATGAGAAACTTAATAAACAGATTTTTTTAAAGGGTAACTCACATAGTGATCACAAAACTGGATAGTTAGGATCCGATTCGTAGCTGGATACCCAAAAGATGATATCATGCGTGGAGGCAAGTATCTTAGAAAGTATCTTTTGTAAAAAGTGAGCACTTTTAGCAAGCAGCTTCTGTTCGCTGCGAAAGCTAGCGAAATCACAGAGCTTTGCCGCCGAGCCACAAAAGCTGTGCACTGCAGTTGGTGCGCTGCCATCGTGAGGTGCAGTTGGAAAATCGCGAGAAAAATCAATTTTTGAAAACCCGCAGCGCTCGCTGAAAATCCATCCGTGATCCTCATCCATGAAGTGGGAGAACTACTGCGACTTTGTGGCCGGATGCTTTGGCGGTGAGTGGCAGACCTCCAGCTGGTATTCAGCCCATATTTGGCAGAAGTCTGGGCATGACGCAATGCAGCAGCAGCCGCTGTTGATAGGCCACTTGTTGAGGGGATCAGCCTCAGCCCCGGCGGAAAACGGGCGCCATGGTCAAGTTCACGTGCAGCGCCCCTGATCCATCGGATTCTTGGCAAGCGGCTGTCGGCGGTTCGGTTCAACATGTGTGGTTTAACTTTGTGGCCACAATTTTAATTAATTTATGCTGCATTCTTGATTTTGATACTTTCATATTCAGGTGCCTGCGGCGTGCTGGTGGCCCACCCACTCGACACCATCAAAGTGTGGCAACAGGCCTCCAACTCATCCGTCGTGACGGCCATTCAACAGATCTACAGCCGCAACAATGGGGTAAGTTTGGAAAGGAGGATTACGTCTAGTTGCAAGTTTGGGAAGATGCATTTTTAATTTTATAAATAATTTGATGAACTAGAATTTTTTAAGTCCTTAAGACACTAAGTTTCATTTGACATTTAACTTTCAAGCTCTTTGCTAATTCAAAACTGTTCCACAATTGAAACCCGCCAAAAGTTTCCCATCCATGGCACTGTTTTATTTTTAATACCAACTCCGACTGGACGCAATCCTCTAGAGCGGGCGACTGGGTGGCGATGGGTTTAATCGATCAGCATCGCCTCAAAGGTCAACGGCTTCTACAGGGGCATGTTCTTCCCGTTCATCTCGACGGGAGCGATCAACTCACTGCTCTTCGGCATCTACGGAAATCACCTGCGGCAGCTGCGGAAGGTGTGCCACAGTGACTACCAGCGGGAGCAGCTGGAGTACCACAACATGTTCCTGGCGGGTTCTGTGGCGGGATTCGTCCAATCCTTCATCGCCTGTCCCATGGAGCTGATCAAGGTTCGCCTGCAGACAGCCACTTGTGGGTCATACTCGATTTTTCAGTCCCAAAATGGCGGGTTAATGTGTGAAATTCCGCAGATTACAATGACTATCTGTATGGCCAGCGAAGGACCGCCTTCGGCACGTTCAAAAGGATACTCAAGACTGATGGCATCTCGGGCCTCTATCGCGGACTTTTGCCCATGATGTGCCGGTGAGTTGCTAATGGTAGTTCCCAAAATACATGGAACTTTAAATGGTTGTGTGCTTGCAGCGACGTCCTGCCTTACGGAATCTATATGCTGGCCTATCGTCAGGGCGTGGACTACTTGGACAGGCGGGACTTTGTGCGCCGGCGACGCAGTCAGTCGGATGGATCCAGTGTGAACCTGTTGGTGACCACGCTGGCTGGAGCCTGGGCCGGAGTCATCTCGTGGGTGTGTGTCATTCCGTTCGACGTGGTCAAGACGCTGATGCAGGCGGACGAGAACCACAAGTACCGGGGCATCTTCCACTGCGTGCGGGTGCAGTACAGGGCCTACGGCTGGAGGAGCATCTTCCGCGGCAGCTGGATGCTGGTGGCACGGGCGGTGCCCTTCAACGCCGCCACTTTCCTGGGCTACGAGTATGCGCTGGAGTGGTGTCAGCGGTGGAATGGCACCTACGTATGACCCAGCAAGTCTGGCGGAGATTAGGGGCCTTAGTTTGTATGCTGTGTACATTGTTGTCAACTGAGAAGAGTGTGATTGAATTATGAAAACTTTTTCTATTATTTACTTCAATGCTGTATAACAGAACTAACAAATAGCTTTAATTGCCTCACTTTGAAAAAGTTTTGTCATATCAACAATGACTTTAGTTCACTTTTTCGAAATTCACCTTTTGTAAGCTTTAAAATTAAAATTATGAAAAATTGCAGCCATAAAGCTAACTTTTCTATCGTTCTTTTATTTAGATACGAGTGCTTTTAAATCTACATTTGCAATTTTGTTAGGAATAACAAGTGCAATAACTTTTGAATTTAGAAAAAAATCGAATCGGCTTGGGTCTGCGCTATCCGAGATATCAACAATGAACATAGAAAACATAGAATTGGTGTGGCCGCATTGACAAACGCGAGTGCTCAAACTCCACAGCAGTAATGTTAATACTTTTCTGAAAAAAAGGACAGATTGAGAAAAAAAACAACGGAAAAAATAGGCTGAAAATTTCAAAAAAAGGATGAAAAAACAGGACAGATTTTTTATTACAAAATAATAGATTATTATTTAATTACTTACAGCTCGAGATTAATTTAGTAGCACTTTGTATACGAATAAACATAAAAATATATATCCCTTTCACTGTAGGGTAATCAATTACAAGAATTTAGGAAAAATATTTTCTTGTAGCCCTATAATTCCCAACTAGTTCTAGTGCAGACTGTAAGGCATGTCTTCTAATTTAGAGTCACAATTGCAAAATATTGCAAGTAATCTCTCTTGTATGTAGTAGTATATGTAGTAGTGTATGTAGTAGTGTATGTAGTAGTGTATGTAGTAGTGTATGTAGTAGTGTATGTAGTAGTGTATGTAGTAGAGTATGTAGTAGTGTATGTAGTAGTGTATGTAGTAGTGTATGTAGTAGTGTATGTAGTAGTGTATGTAGTAGTGTATGTAGTAGTGTATGTAGTAGTGTATGTAGTAGTGTATGCAGTAGTCTATGTAGTAGTGTATGTAGTAGTGTATGTAGTAGTGTATGTAGTAGTGTATGTAGTAGTGTATGTAGTAGTGTATGTGTTCTTAAGTGTGATTAGTTGCAAGATCACATTGGCATCCCTCTTGAAATAATAACCAGGCAAATGTTATTCATACAAGTGTTTGAAATGTTATAATATTTATTTTAAAATATTTATTCATAAAAAATATTTAAAATACAATATAAAATTCTGAAGAACACATAGTTATTGCCGCTTTTAATATTTGTTTAGGAAACAAGAAATTTTTATTTATACCCGTCTTTAGGCATTTTGGCAGAAATCTGAAAATGATTGCTTTTGTATATTATTTTGTTTGTCTTCTTCTTTAGGCAGTTTGAAAAAGTGAGTTCGATATTCATACGATTACACACAATATCGATAACATTTTACTTAAAAGAGGTGCAACATAGTTTGCAAACAAAAAAATGTGGAATTATACCAATTAAATTTGAAAAATTCTAACATTGCCTAAAAGGGACTGATTTCCGTATAGAAAAACTTAAAAAAAGACAGATTTCCCGGTTGGGGCTGTTTGACATTTTTTCCTGATGAAGCAGTAAAAAACAGGACAGATCTGTCCGGAAAAAGGCTAAATTGGCATCACTGCTCCATAGGCTTATAGCACTGTCTGCGAACGGTCACACCGAGTCGAACGATGAACAACAACACAACATCGCGTCGCGTTCGTTAAAAAATCGAGATAAACCAAATCAAAGTAACAAAGTGTAGATACAGCACGCGATTTTGCGTATTTGCATTGTGCTGCCACTTAATGACCCGTGTCCAGTGAATCTATTGGCAGACACAAATGGTCAGCGCGCTGCAATGCAGCGAGTGGCGATGAGCAGCCGCCGAAAAAGATGGCAGCAAAAATTGTGCAAGTGAATTAATGTCGAATTGCGCACAATTATTATTAAATTCACTAGTGGTAGTATGTGCAGTTGCTTGTGGCGCCGCGAAAAGTTCGCAAAGTTCGCTGAATTTGCGAACAGGAGGCTCGAAATAACGGTGTACAGGAAGACGAAGAGAAAAACAAACTGAAAAGCAGAGCAAAACGAAAAGCAAATAGCAGATAGAGCAAAAGTCGGGCAAAAACGCAACAGAGTGAATTGTTTCCATTGCAGCCCCCCAATTCTGTTATTTTCCTCCCCCTCGGCAATCCCCCCCTCCCATCCAAAAAAAAAAATCAAATTACGTGGCAAGTGGTCAGGCGAGAACAACAACAAGCACCAAACTTGCTGCTGCAGGTTTTTTCTTTTTTTTTTTTGTGTTCCCATCTCTTTGCTTTTGGTTTACTGTACGTGCTGAAAACGCCCCCCAATCCGCACCACCCAACCTACACCCACCACCCGAATAAACAAATAAAGGAGTGCAAGAATCCAGCGGAGCCACCACCATCGTCACCATCGAAATGTCGTCACTCAAGGTCGCCGTGAGGGTTCGCCCCTTTAACTCCCGGTAAGTC